CTATCTATCTATCTATCTATTTATTTTTTTATAAATTTTTTTTTATTTTTTGCTATTTCAGAATGTTTGACAAGAAACCAGCACCTGTTGACATGGCTAAGCTGTTGAGCTTTGGTTATGCAGAAGACAGAGAACCTAAGCAGTAATTTACCAAGTAAGTTATGCAGCAGTAGAGTTACAATCTCTTTTTCACAGTTAAACGTTTCAATGTTCTTTTTAAAGTGCTTTCAGGAATCACTTCTTAAACGATAAAACAAAATGAAGGCAGGCCATTAACCAGTGTACTGATTTTTATGAGACTGCTTTATGAATAAGCACAATGAAAGGACAGATTTGCTGTGTAAAACTTTAACATTTGAGTCATTAACAATTTATGATGCACTTTGACAGTATTATGTAGATATAATGGTGACTTATGTGGGAACGATTAATGGAATGACTCTTACTCTTTTTATTTTTTTATTTTATGTCAGCAGGCTGAAAGACTGCCAGATGTGCAGTAATTGGGTGAACACACTCCAAGAAGAATATTTGCCATCATTCCCTCTGACATTAATTTCTAAACTTTGTCCTGCTGAGCCAGATGAAGCGTTTGAACAAGTTCAACATCTTTAAAAGTGTGACATTGAATTGATTTATTAAGAATATAGTGGATTGTTTATGTTACCTTAAGTGTTGCCTCATTGTATCTAAATAACGGAGAGGCATTTGTTCAAGGGTTTGTTTGCTGTTGATGTTAAAGTTGATTAAAACACGTCAAATAAAAGTTCAGATTTTAAAGACTGATTCTTTCTTGCTTTCCTTGTGAGGTCAGCCTTTTTCACTTCTTCAAGATACTTTAACAGACTAACTTATAGTTCTGTAACTAAAACATTTGACGAGTCTCACCTCTTATTTCTTTAGCTCTATGAACAATATAGAATTTCTCTTTAGAAATGTTTTACATGGAGGGAGTGTAGCGTTGAATAGGAGATGAATGGGGACAGAAGCTACAGTATATGCTACCACAGCCGTATTTAACAGATGGAAGGATGTTCTCAGCCTTGAACTCCTTCCTTTTCTTCAAAATGTAACAAAATGTTCATTTTAGCTTCATCAGACTACAAGTCACAGAAATCTAAAATTTAAGGTATTTGCCTTTGATCAGATTTGCAAAGATTTATATGAATTCTTCCTTGCTGAGCTGCTTTTCAGCCCATAGTGTAGAATGTTTTTTTATGGAGGTAAGGACAATTCAAACAATGCAATCATTTCGCTTTTCTTTTAAGGCTAAGCCACATGTTTCACATCAAAACACTGGGACACATACTCTGTCTACTTCCTGATATGTATATGGTGTATGATTATGAGGAAATTCTTATTTGTTTTTACAGTTGTGTATATTTATTCGCTTAAAATAATTTATTAGCTTCATGCATTTGGCGATTTCACCAAATAATGAACTAGATGTTAAAGTTCCCCCTGAAATCTAGCATTAATTCTTTTGTTTTTCCCATGATGAAGTAGTGTGCTTGATGTGCTGCCTTAAATACTGTACATCCCCAGATGTATTCCTTCTATAAAATATATGTTTTAGCATTTTTATCTTAACTAAAGCAAGAAAAGTTTTGTTTTTAACACTTCTTTGAAAAAAGACATTTTCAAAACGACTTTAAAATGCCTAAAAAAATCCTGAATATGGTTATGAAATTTCATGCATGAAAGCTTAAAAGCATAATTATCTCCTCTGTTTATTTATCAGAAGGATTGTTCTGGTGTTGGTTATACATTATATCCACGGTGAGTGAGGGTCAGAGGTCAACTCTATGTTCCCGCGGTGAGTAAGGTCAGAATGCGTCATACTCTGAATTCTGATTGGCTGAATCAACTACTGCACACTCCAGGATTTAATCATACCAGACTGTTTATGTTTCACAGGCTGTTCTTATTTTTTTTTTCAAGTATTTCTACATACCTCGACTTGCTCTGTTTGTCTGTATCTTTAGCAGAAAAGCTACTACTGCTACACCTCTTTTCAGAGCCAATCAGTGATTAGGTCAGCGGTGACCACTATATTAACTCCGTTTGGTCTCACTCTTACTCAAAATACATCGAGTGTTTGACGGTTTCTAAACAAATTTTACAGACATTTAAACATTTCTTTTGAAGAACCACCTACAGCCATGGCACCAATTCTTCTCAACTGTATGGGAAGTGAGCACAAGGACTACATCAAGTAAGTGTTTTACGTATTTAACATTTTAAGCTTTTAATCTCATATGCATTTTAGATTTAATTCCGACTATGTTCTAATATAAGTTGAAATAATCTTAGACAACAGGTTCAAGTAAAAAATCCTTATTTGGACTCGATGGAAGAGGACATTCTGTACCACCTCAGCTTGAGCACAAAGACTCACAACCTTCCAGAAATGTTTGGTGATATTAAGGTTTGTGAAAGCATAGCTATAGAAAAAAATACAAAAAAAACAACAACTAACATATATGAAGCCAAACTCCCCTTTTTAACTGCATTCTCTCTGTTTCACATAGTTTGTGTGTGTGGGTGGCAGTGCGAATCGAATGAAGGCTTTTGCCCAATTCATGCACCAGGAGCTGAACCTACCAGGAAGCCCAGAAGATATCACAGATATCTGTGAGGGGACCGACCGCTACTGCATGTACAAAGTTGGACCAGTGCTCTCCATAAGTGTACGTATTCAATTTTACACAGGTTAAAAATTATGTAAATGTAGTCAGACATCTTCTAGAAGTTATTTTCCTTTTCTTTATTCTGTAGCATGGAATGGGTGTCCCTTCCATCTCCATCATGCTTCACGAGCTCATCAAACTGCTTCATCATGCCCAGTGCCGTGATGTTGTTTTGTTTCGCTTGGGAACATCCGGTGGAGTCGGTAAGACCGGATTATTGTCCTCCTTTAGATGGAGGGTTTAGCATAAATGGAGCTAAATTAGTAGATGCACCTAGAACAATCTTGTAAGGTAGTTGTAATGTGTTATCTGCAGGTCTGGCTCCAGGCACGGTCGTAATCACTGAAAAAGCAGTGGACTACTCTTTCCGCCCTCAGTTTGAACAAGTTGTTCTGGGTAAAGTTATCACTCGGAGTACAGAGCTGGATGAAGGCGTTGCTAAGGATCTTCTGCAATGCTCCTCCGAGTTGCAAAACTTTCCATCTGTTATTGGAAACACCATGTGCACCCACGACTTCTATGAAGGTACTAGGCCTGAAAATATGCTTAGATTCATATTTAAACAACTGGGAATTCCCTTGAACTGATCATGTACTGAAATTCTCCTGTATCTCCATAGGCCAAGGCAGGCTTGATGGAGCTCTCTGCTCTTTTTCTCACGAGGAAAAACTGGAGTATCTTAGGAAAGCCTACGAGGCTGGAGTGAGGAATATCGAGATGGAGTCCACCGTATTTGCTGCCATGTGCCGAGTCTGTGGGCTAAAAGGTGTCCATTAATAATCAACAATTGACTCTTAGAATGAACCGATACAAGATTTCTGAACATGTCTGACAATTGGTCTAAGAGATGTTACAAGACGGGTAGAAAAAACATTTCCTGCTCGTACTGTGGTTAGAGCAAGAATCTTCGACACACAGGACTACAAAGAATAGCCTCCCTGGTAAAAACCACTATCATAAATTCATTTTTAATTGCAGTAGAATATCTAGAAATTTAGAAAAAAAGACAAACTTTAACACAGCTTGAGAAAAAATCGGAACCATTTACAATTGTATATAACCTTTTTAAAAAGGGAAAGAAAATAGAACATTGCAGTCAAGTCAGGGAGGTTTGTGTTGATTCTTAGTTGACAAATGGCAACAATAACGATTAAACACTTCAAACTATGACAAACAATTCTGGACGGCTTTTGTAAAAATCTTTAGATAAGCTAGAAATAACAGTGAAGTTGCTGGAACAGCACAGTAAGCTGTTATAAATATCATCACTCATCTCTTTTCTTTTTTTTTTACTCTTCAGCGGCTGTGGTGTGTGTTGTGTTGCTGAACCGCTTCGAGGGCGACCAGATCACCTCGCCACATGATGTTCTGGTGGAGTACCAGCAGAGACCTCAAGTCCTGGTTTCCCACTATATCAAGAAACGCTTGGGACTCATCGCCTGAATTCTTTGCCCCTCCTAACAGCTGTATAGAGCTTTGACTACCATGTAGATATGTACATACATGTACTGTACCTAATGTTAATAGTCGGATTAGACAAATATTTAAGTTTTTTATGATTTGATTGAACTTTGAACAGTATTTCTTTTACATCTATTTAAGTGTGTGTTGTATCTTTTCATATTAAATTAATTGGTATTTATGTAAGATAACACAAGTCTTTGCAATGATGTGTTCTGTGTGCTTATTTTCATAATGACTGGAATAAATAAAGAACTTTATTTAAAAAAGACATATAGTTTATAATGTCGTCATTTTGTTGATCCCTTGGAATATGGCAGCATGGAGCTCAAACAATACATTTAATTGTTAAATGTTATGAGTTGGATATATATATTTCATATTTACTAGTTTATGTGAAAAATGCATGTTATTGGAAAATGAAACTTCATGAAAACTGTCAATAAATATTAGCAAGCGATTTGCAGAATCCGGATGGTTACGATGACTTATCGCAGCATGTTATTCACTAGTATAATACATATGGAAACATTTGATAAATGGTTAATTGTTATCTTATACTTTCTCGTGGACTTTGGAAGAGTGGGAGCTGTGATTGCAACAGCATCAACTGTTATGTAACTATGTTTTAACCAGGAATGTTCCAAATCTTAACCCAAGTAACAGACCGGGGTCAGTATAGGGCATTTTAAATGGCCTGCAGTATCAATATGCTGTTGTTGGTGTGCTGACTGTGATTTCATATCACTCTGCCTGAACTGTGCAGGTGTTGTCTGCTCTGATAATTGTTCATATGCACGGCTTATAAAACTGGATATGTGCCAGGCACAGTTTCCTGTTTATTCAATGAATCTGGGTTTTCCCAAACAATCTTTTGTTACCCTACAATAAATTCAGTCACTCTTTCATCTGTGATTAAACCCGCCCCAGGAAAGAATTAGAGAGCAACTGAAACTGCTGTCATTCACACTTAAAAACAGTGCAAGAAACAAACAAACAGGCTTCTTCCGTAATATCAGAATGGAGAGTAAACACTATATGAGCCTGTGTCTTTAACAGTATAAAAATATCATCAGCAGGAGCAACATGTAAGTTAGTAAGAGGTTGACAGCATGTCAGAAAAATATCTGTCACTCTCAAACCAAATTCATATTAAGCATATAATCAGCGGTAGGTGAGGAGATAAGGCTGATGAAACCTTCTCAACTGTTGACATTTTGAGCATATCTGTTTCAGAAGTAGCCAGTGACTCATTATTAGACTATGTCTATTGTTATAGGAGGTAAGGATTCAAAATAAAAACACACCCAAAAAGATGGAATTCCTCATTTGCATGTATTTATTTGCTTAACAGCATTAAAATCAAAAAGCTAAGAAAAATGTTGGGTAAAAGCACACTTATGCAAACAAAGCCCTAGAATTTAAGTGTAGATTTGGTGTCCTTTCTTGGCATTTTAAGGGGCTTGATTTGGGACAGAATTTCCTTTGCGTACAGGTTCTGATGTACTCCAGCCTTTCGAAAGGCCTGCTCAGCTCGAACCCTCGGATCTGACACAATCTGTGGGACAGAAATTCATAGAAAACACACTAAATAACTTACACATTTACTGCTTTTTCCACTAGATTATGCTCATGTTAGTTATAAAGCTTAGGGGTTATGCTCTATACGGAGAAACAGTTCTGCTGGATCCAGCAGCCACTGCAGTTTATTGACTGACATGGTGTCCTTGAGATCTTGGCTGTGTGCTGATATGAGGACAAACATTGTTTGATCAGCTACTTGCTTTGTATATGTTCCCTGACAGCATGGGTCAGTCTCAACTAAAGTGAAACAAAACCTGGACAACTGATTATAAATCAACAAATGACAGACAGGCAGAATGAAGAGAATAATACTGCAGCTGGCCATTTGCATCTTTTAAACAACAGGTAAAGATGAGAGGTCAGATATTATAATGCCTCACCTGTTTGTCTGTGTACGTGTTAATACTGTAGAGAGGCCTCTGCAGCTCAAACTCTCTCTGATTCAAGCATCGGTTCCTCCAAGCTTCAGTATCTGCCATCATCCTCTCTGGGTCGGCCTCTGCCTGCACTTCAACCTGAGATAACAGAAAGACTTAGAACATCCGACTGTCCTCTTGGATGCAGCCAAAAGGGGGCACTGATGCCTTTGCTCAGGTAAGATGGTGTCCAGTTCAACCCTTGTGAATAATTTTAACAGACAGAACAATTGTGAGCGGCTCAAAGTGTTAAGACAGGCTAATGGTTCACCTGCTTTCTGAGAGCTTCCAGACGATCCCGTCTCTCTTGTTCCTCCCTCTGCTGCTCGAGCTCCTGCTTTTCCCTCTCCTTCATTCGTCGCTGCCACACATGGGTGCGAAACTGCACCCTAAAGGTAACAGAGAGATGCAGTTGGACATCAGACATGGATGACACCTCTGTTCCTCAGCCAGGGCCTGAGGAAGCTTTAGCCATCATTTCACACAGGCTGAACCTGCGGGCAGCGGTGGGGTTTAATGGAGCTGCCAGAATGCTAGTCTTCTCAGAGTAGCTGTTTTTATTTCTTTTTCAGGCCCCCACCTGCTTTTTGTCAAGTAAATACAGTCTAAATCTGCAGTTTATTTCAATAACAGTCTGATTTCAAACTATTAATTCTCTTGCATTGCATGTTAACCTAAAACTTAAAAAATGATATTTCAAATGAAAACACGAACATCTTATACAAACATTTGTTTTCTCTCTATGACATTAAATCAAACATTACCTTATGTTAAGATATATTAAAAAAAAAAAAATTACGTAACAGCTTTGTTAGCTCTGAATTAATGTTAATTCAAACACACTGCACTGTCTGACATCATGGGAACATCAAAACTATTCACTGAGGATGTTAGGAACCCCAACCTCAATTTTAGGGACCCCTATACCTCAGCGATTACTCATTGGTTATAATTTCTAGATGTCTAAAAATGATATTCATTTGTTCAGCTAGTTACATACTAGTCTAAAGACCAGGAAAATCATCTATTTTAACAAGAAATTGGCTCTGTGTCCAAAAGAGATAGTCATGTTATGGTTTGTTTCATGTAAATCTAACATGGAAAACAGAAGCAAACAACTGTATGAACTTGGTGGAAGAAAATGAAATAAACAGTATTGGTTGAAATTTTTGTGGTTGTGGTTGAGATATTGTATATTATGTTCTTTCTTATGCATTTGCCTGCCTAGGGACTATGGATGAAAACTAGCTTTGTAGCTATAATCCGGCATATTTACATTTGTTTTTATACTTATGTTCATTAATGTGCTTTGTCCCTATTCAAATAAATAAATAAATGAAATGAAAAATGAAAATGCCACTAGGAGACAACAAGCAGCTGGATGTCCATGATAGGAGATCTGGCTTTGAATAAATCTAGGGTCTGACAGATCTAATTAAGGTGACCTGGAAAAAAAAAAAAAAAAAAAGCAGTTCTGCAGGTTTAGTTTCAAATCCCAGGTCCATGTGAAATGTCACCACTAACCTGATGCAACAGAAATATTACAAAAAAAAATTGAAAACAGTCTTCATTAGCCTGAATCAGCTTGAGATCAAATGATTTAATGCTGCAGAACTAGACATATCTTATCACTGTTACCTGTCATGTCCAGCACTTTATGTCAGTTTTTAAATGTCAGTCTTGTATATTTCTTGTATATTTGTATATTTCTAGAGAGTAAACGTAATTGACTTGATATGCAGAAACCAAAAATTATAATGTAAGAGTGTTTATGAAATAGGGACCATATTCGGGAGCAAACAACATCACAAACTCGAGCTAATGTCTCATTTTAAATTGCTGAAGTAAAAGATTAAAACCAAGACACGGAAATTCTGCATTACAAATTTGAAGTATTCAGAACTTTTGTGAAAACATTTTAAACTTATAAAATTGTTATTCTGCTCCGATTACTGCAGCAGACAGACAGATGGTCCGTATGTAGAACTGAAAAAAACAGCAGAGGCTTCTTCAAATCAATCAGCCTGATGTCAGTATTTTCACCTGTTGTGTTTGCGCATCATGCTCAGGTAATCAGTAAATCACTGTTTACAGAGCAGGCCAGCCTTGGATGGGAACTAATTAAAACTGACAGATGTCAGAGTGATGCTGTAAAAGCAGGGCTCTTTCAGTCTGTAATTAGGGTGAAATTCAGTGTTTCTTAAAGGTCAGAGTGTGGCACTTCATAGAGTTTTGAGGAAACTGCTGCCAGCTAAAATGAGGCAGATCATCCCATCCAACTTTATCCATCTGGCTGTGAAAATTCTTTTAAATTACATAAAAATTAGGAATTTAATGAAAAAGTCTATCAAAAGAAAAACATCTACAAGCATGCTTAGTGTGAGGGATTGCCTTTGAGTCAACAAGTCAATGCAATCAACTGGTTTCCCTTAGATAGAAACCTTTGAATCAGTTTGACTGTATGATCTAGTTGAATTGTCTCTGTAAAGTGCCTTGAATTAGGGTTATTAATGTGTTTTGAATTGGTGCTATATAAATAAACTGAATTGAATTTTACATTAATCTAGCCCATACGATTTTGTCCACTGCATCATGTTAGAGTGGATAGATAAAGAGAAGCAAACAGACTATAAAAACATGACCACTGAGTGGCTGTTATTTTTGCCTCTGTATTGAGTGACCCTCTTTCATATTTTCTCTGCATCTCATTTTTTAAAATCTATTTTGATCTCCTTTGACAAAAGAAGCTTAATCCACCAACTACTGCCTATATAAATATGCTATAAAAATAAGCTTGATGAACTTTACTATTAGTTTACTATTAATTATTTTAACTTCTTGCATGCATCATTTGACTTGGTAAAAGTACCAATGATATTTATCAAATATATTTTTCTTGTTAGGTTCAAAAAGTTTTTTCACAAATATCATCAGAGAACATTTTCCATACAGTAGATATAAAAATATATGTACATTTTCAAAAGGTCAGGTAACATTTGCGGGCAATGAATGACTTTTATTTTGCTAGAGTGAAGCCAAAACTTATTCTTTTGATATAAAGACTGCACATTCCTGCTTTGGACTACGTTTGAGACATCCCCTTTTTTGTTTCTTTGTTGTTAAAAGAAATTGATTTCGAAATACTCTGAGTCTGGTTGCATACAAATGTACACTGCTTAAAAAATTAAAGGAACACTTTCAAAAAACATCAGATCTCAATGGGGCAAAAAATTCTGCTGTTTATTTATACTGATATGGACTGGGTGATGTGTTAGGAACAAAAGGATGCCACATAATTTGATGGAAATGAAAATGATCAACCTACAGAGGGATGAATTCAAAGACCCCCCAAAAATTACAGTGAAAAAATGATGAGGCAGGCTAGTCCATTTTGCTTAAATTTCGTTGCATCAACTCAAAATGGTATTCAGTAATTTGTATGGCCTCCACATGCGTGTATGCATGCCTGACAACGTCGGGGCATGCTCCTAATGAGACGACAGATGGCGTCCTGGGGTATCTCCTCCCACATCTGGAACAGGGCATCACTGAGCTCCTGGACAGTCTTACGTGCAACCTGGCGGCGTCGGAAGGATCGAAACATAATGTCCCAGAGGTGCTCTATTGGATTTAGGTCAGGCGAGCGTGCGGGCCAACCAATGGTATCAGTTCCTTCACCCTTCAGGAACAGCCTGCGTACTATCGCCACATGAGGCCGGGCATTGCCATGCACCAGGAGGAACCCAGGACCCACTGCACCAGCAAAGGGTCTGACAATGGGTGCAAGGATTTCATCCTGATACCTAATGGCAGTCAGGGTGACGTTGTCTAGCCTGTATAGGTCTGTGCGTCCCTCCATGGATATGCCTCCCCAGACCATCACTGACCCACCACCAAACCGATCATGCTGAACGATGTTACAGGCAGCATAACTTTCTCCACGGCTTCTCCAGACCCCAGGTGCCAGTGGTGGACTTGCCAATTCCTGTGTTCTGTGGCAAATGCCAATCGAGCTCCATGGTGCCGGGCAGTGAGCACAGGGCCGACTAGAGGATGTCGGGGCCTCAGGCCACCCTAGTGAAGTCTGTTTCTGATTGTTTGGTCAGAGACATTCACATCAGTGGCCTGCTGGAGGTCATTTTGTAGGGCTCTGGCAGTGCTCCTCCTTGCACAAAGGAGTAGATATCGGCCCTGCTGATGGGTTGTAGACCTTCTATGGCCCTGTCCAGCTCTCCTGGAGTAACTGCCTGTCTCCTGGAATCTCCTCCATGCTCTTGAGATTGTGCCGGGAGACACAGCAAACCTTCTGGCAATGGCACGTATTGATGTGATTAGCAACTATTGTGCTAAAGGTGGACTGCCTGTGCAACCTCTGTAGGGTCCAGGTAGCGCCTCATGCTAACAGTAGGGACAGTGACCCTAGCCAAATGCAAAACTGGCGAAAAATAATCAGAAAAGATGAGGAAGGCAAAAAATGTCAGTGGCCTCCACCTGTAAAACCATTCTTGTTTTGATGGCCGTCTCGTTGTTGCCCCTGCAGTGCACCTCTTGTTAATTTCATTAACACCAAAGCGGCTGAAACTGATTAACACCTTTGCTACTTACCTGACCAAATCAATATCCCAGAACCTTAATTAACTTGATGCTAAACTCTGATTACAAAGTGTTCCTTTAATTTTTTGAGTAGTGTATAAATAAATACATTTTGGCACCCTGTTGGCTTATATATTCATTCTGTTAACACTGGAAATTGGATATTACAAAATGAATTTAATGCACTGAAGTATAACACTATTGACATTAGGTAAGATATTACATATGCACTCAAGTAAGTAAACAAGGAAGCAATAGAGCTGAGTGAGTCAGCAATGCCTAGCACAGGTGCAAAATAAACAGTGGAAAAATCTAAAATAAATCCTGAAAAATCACAACAATTGATAAGACATGAGTAGCACTTAGGATAAAATGTATTGTTCTTTAACTATATGCTTTATAATTTTAGGTGGGCTAATATCATTCTTGATCTGTTATAGTTAGAAGAGGAGCTCACTCAGCTTGCCTTATTGCACAAATGTTTTTTTTGTAAGGCTTGAATTATCATTTTTGTCGTAAATCTGAAAATAGAAGAATAAGAAAATTTTGTTTAATGTAATAACCTTTCAAAATAAGACATGTATTTAAGTGGATATTTGTAAAAACTTATTATGGCTTTAGACACCTTTAATTTTGTAGAACCAGGGAAAAAAGTGATTCTTTGAACTGATAAGATTGATGTTCCCTGCACCAGAGTAATCCATTAAGCAAACATTCATGTTTTTGGACGGTGGGAGGAAACTGGAGTATGTAGAGAGAACCTATGCATATACAAATATACCATACAACGTCTATAAATTAAAACCCCAGGCCAGGTTTTTAAACAAAGGATGTTGTACAAGGCATCAGATCAGTGCCATACTACCAACTATGGCACCACACGGACCTTTACAACATCATTTACATTCATTTTTAATTAATATCTTTTTAAATTAATTAATTAATTTTATTTAATTTTTATAAAAATAAATAAATGCTAACAAGGACATGTTAAGTATTTTAATGGGATCGGTTGGGGGTTAACTCAACGGAATGGGAACTAGATCCAGATAATTGTGCATCTGCACATCCCTGATTATGCCCCTCATTATATATCAATTACTACCTTATTGTATCCCCTTAATGGTTCCCGGTCTGACAGTTTCAGTAATTTGAATAGTATGTGTCTCTCTATAAATAAATACATTTCTAAAAAAAACGCCATATTTTATGGTTTATGACTCAACAAACTAACATTCAAAGAAAACAATGAAACAATGAAGAGTCAAGGTCCCTCTGTCCAGCACAAACCTCTCCTTATCTCTTCTGGCTTGTTCCTCCATGACACTCCTGAGAGCAGCGAGTCTCTCCTGATCTCTCTGTTCCAGCACCTCTCTCCTCTTCTGCTGCTTTAAAGAAAAGAGCCTCAGCTGGAAATAAAAAAATAATAATTATAAATCAAGACAAAAAAACAGAAAGTTAACAAAAAGACCAATCACACACAAACTAAGTTGACTCTCAGAAAACTCCCAGGATCAACATGTCCTATTGACTGAGAGGGCAGGAATCAGATAAATATAAATCAAAAGAATGAGATGATATTTCAGTGTCTGCCCAACTATTGTGCTAAATTATATGGAACGCAATGAGGCCTGAATGTTCTCATTAATCAGACAGCGTCCCAGGTTGCTAGTTCCCCCCTTAGCAGACCCCTGAGGAGAGAGTTAATTAAACAGTCAGAAACAAACACGATCTGCTGTTATCGCACCTGTGCGTTCAATAACTAAAACGGATAATCAAAATCCTCATGTAATCATAACAGCACATGTTTACTGTTTCATAGCATCCAGGGCTTTATTTTTAGATTACTTACATTTGTGTATTGACTGTTGTTCAGGTTTATTTTGAATTAGGTTTTTTCATTCTATAGCAATCAAGCAAAACAGTTTACATGAAAAAAATTTATTTTAACAATAAAATAGATCTCATTAAAGCTGTTTTGACTATATTTTTGGTACCTTTTGCTCTACCTTCGTGATTGCAAAAGGAAGTAACTGACACTTTTGTGGGACAACAAATATAGACAAAGTCCATACTTTCTCTTTCTGTTGTGATCTAATTGAGGCCTCCTTCTCCTGCTCCCTCTTTAATCTCTCCTCTACTTCCTCTTGGCGTCTCGCTGCGATGGCTGCCTCCAGTTTTGCCACCTCCTCCTGCTGGGCCCGCCATTGCTGCAACTACAAATGCACGCCGGGAAGAAACAACAAAAAAGCTGATTATTATCAACAAACAGCTTTCATTTTACTAAACATCAAAAGTACATAAAAAGTTTTATAAAAGATTTCCAGCTGGATTTAGTTTCCGAGCCATACAAGCTCAATCATGTGTTGACTGCATGTTTAAGTTAGTGCTGCTGTTTTGTCAAATGTATCTTATATTTTGCTAGAAAAAACAGCAAACTGTTTCCTTTCCAGTGGCCTCCCTCATCTTTGACCCTTGTGTTTTCTATCCTTCTTCCTCCTCAATAGTCTTTTCTAAATTCTTATCCCTCATTTTTTTGTCATAGAAACATGAAATGTCTCCACTTTAAAATTGCCTTTTCATCAGCGATGTGTAAGTATCCCAATTTGGAAAGATTAGCCGACTTATAAAGGCAAGAAGTCCATAATAATATAAACTCAAAAATGAATCATCACCTTTATACAGGTCAAACAATAGGGTTCAAAATGTTGTTCTCATTACAGACAATTGATTAGACTTATATTACATATGATATAAGATATATAGATTATAGTGTATACTATATATTTCTGGTAATTAGTTATTGATCAGCACTACAATGGTTGTATTGTGCACACTGATGATAAGCCATGGTGATGGAGCCATGGCTGGCTTCAAAAAAAAAAAAACATTCTGTCATTTTTCTGCTGGTTTATAACACCAAACCCCAAATAAACTGGTTTCAGAGTTTCAGGTTTGACATAGACCTATCTTTTTTGTCAAGTACATTTATATCTCCAAATTCATATCTGGATGTTATGTAATTGTGATGGTTCAGAAATACAGTAGTTCAGAGACACAACAGTAAGGATCATTTTAAATATTGAATTAACAGAATAGCAACAAAACTAACTAAACAATTTATAGAAAAAGATAAAAAGATTTTTAACAAAAATACAAAGCATTGTAAATGCAAATTTTTTAGACTATATGACATCATTGAATAGTGTTAGGAATCCAGTTTATGTGGGTTGTTTTGTGTTTTCTTTTGTTCTCCCTTTCCACAACTAGATGGTGCCTCCTCTCACACCTGCGGCTTGTTGAGTCATCACCAGAGGAGTATTTGAGCAGCGGGCTGTCACTACCTCGACGCCAGAGTGTTTGCCAGTATTGGGTACTCTAGCCAAACTGAGATTACCTGAGTCTAATGTATCCCTTGTCTCTCTGAGTCTAAGCTTTGCCTTTGTATTTGTTCTCTGGTAGGAAGCCTTCCTGATCCACTGGTTAAGCCTGGACCTTCTCAAGGTCTTCTCAAGTCTCAGTGATATTTCCTACGGGCCCTAAACTGATCATTGTGGTCTTCCCTTCAGAGTTTCCGGTTCCAGTTCACCAGTCCGCTAAGGTCCAACTGAGTTTTATCAGCAGTATAATTTCACTCTCTGTTTTTGTAAACCTTCAAATAAACCAGTTAACTTTTATCCTTGGTTCTTAAAGCCCACCATGACAAATAGTTGTCTATATTTAACAAGGAATGAAGGAAGGAAGGAAGGAAGGAAGGAAGGAAGTAAGGAAGGAAGGAAGGAAGGATGGATGGATGGATTCTGCAATTTTATGGTGTAGGGGAAGTAGGTGTTGTGGAACCTGGCTATTCAGCTCCAGAGACTGCATGGTTACAGACCAGTTTTCTGTGAGGGTTTGAGTTGTCTTTAGTGATGTCTTAGCCCCTGACGAGGCATGCCCCCCTGGAGCTTTATCCTCTCCCTATAGTGGCATTGAAGTCATCAAGAATGAGGGACACTACTATGGGCTCATCCTTAAACTTTAAAAAGTAGTTGCAGTAGACCTGGGACAACAGCTTGTGTCTTCAGGTTCAACTAGAGTGGGGTCTCACCCTTTCTTTATTTGATGTAGGGAAGATTGTTGCAGCTTTCAGACGTGATGGTACATCAGCCTGAGCTCATGAGATTTAAGGATGTTGCTAAGAACATCCACCCAATGGTCAATGGTTGCCATGAGAACCCTTTTTGGATTCTTGTCCAAAAATCTCTGTTTACACTCACAGAAATATTTAACCAGAAATTTATTGATGTAATTTTTTATTTATACATTTTAGATTTATGTAATTTTTTTTACATAACCTACTAAATAACACATACATGATGAATATTCCTTTGTATAATGAAGCTTATTTATAATCATCAGGCTTATGTATTTATTCAAAATGAATATCTATGAGTGTATTTATTTCAAATAGCTCAAGTTTATTGTTTGAGTTGCATTATTTTTTAGTTACCTTTAGGCAATTAAAAGAATAAAGTTTATGTATTTGAAATAAAAACACTTATTAGAATTAATTTTGAGTAAGTATGCCCTTTTATATTGAATACATAAACCTGACGAGTATGTTTTTCATATAAACAAGCTTTATTATACAAGTTAATATGCATCATAAAATATTTATTCAAAACGTTTGTGGTAAAGTTATCCAAAAAAAAAAAAAATAATAATAAATAGGAATCTATGTTAAATTACATAAATCCTAAAATTTGGGTGAAATATTTTTATGTGTGCATTCACTCTCTTTAGGGCTCCACATACATACGCAGTGGGCAGTCTGACTGTCTGCCCATCAGAATGAGGACTAGATTTTGTCGCCTTGCTGAGTGCATCCAACATTGCTGAATTTATCAAGGAAGCTGATGTTATAGTCACAGGAGGGAGCGGCAACCTTATTGCCTAAATACTTTTTCAAAGATGTTTAAGACATGTGATTTTAATTTGATAAATTTTTCTATTTAAAAGAATAAAATAGGGGTTTGTTCCTTTAAACATTAGGTTTCTGTCTTGTTAACCCTTGCTCCTCATTGTAATATAAAAACAGGCATCATTCTAAAGAGACTCTTGCATTATGCAGAACTCTGTCTGAGGCCCGCTGAGTATAGAAAGTGTTGCATTTGACAGGGTAGACGGATTTGCAGATCCAGCAGAGGAAAGCTTAGAAATCCCCAAAGGGACAAACTTCAAATTAACATGCTCTCACACACATTAGTGCCAGCAGTTATCATAAAGTCAATCGTTCTTGACGGGCTGGCCGAGATAAAAGCAGCAGCTGTGTGTTCAGGAGGGGGACTTCAAACGAATCGGGCTCTAATCCACTTCTATTTAACGCTGTTGAAGCAGGAGATAAAGCACAGTTCTCTTTTTAGAAATGCCAATATTGTCTTAAGGCAAGGCAAAGTCCTTAAACTGGCTTATGATATGTAATTTAAGACCCAGATAATAAATCTAGTGAATAAAATGATTGGAGATTTGTATTGTTTTTGTAACTCAAGTGTAGCACCCTAGTCACACTATTTTCTCTGTATGGGAATCTAAGGACCAGGAAAGGGCATATTATTGATTTTAATACCTGCTGGTGGTTAGTATAGGAAAATGTTAAATCAAATTCAAAACCAGACAAATAGTTAGGTTGTCAAGCATTGAGAAAATTGCCATTAAAAGACTTAATAGGCATCTGGTCTTCAAGTATTAGGGTTTTTTTCTCACTAAATAAGTCAAGAAATCACCAGTTTTCAAAAACAAGAGGGTAAAGAACCTACTTACAAATGTATTTTGACCCACCCCCAAATTAAATAAAAAAATGTATAAAGTGAAATAGCTTCCATAGCACATAATGGTTGTTTTTATTTTAAACTACGACAAAGAAATTTGAAAAATGCTTCCTTTCCAATAGGCCAACTTAATGACATCTATAATTTATGAATTTATCATAAATACAGTGTTATTGAAAAAGATACAAATAATAATGATAAATAAATTATTTTGTATTAGTTCTTGTTGAATCATCCAGCTTGACAAAATATGGCATCAAGGGAACATGTGAAACTTCATCAGCTAACAAGTCACAAAGGGATTATTTTGTGCTTATTTACTACCCTTCTGTTGAGAGATCTCTCCTCTGGGACGTTATTTATGTTTGTGGTTTTGATAATGGAAAAAAAAACAAAAAAAAAAACACTTTAAATGCTTGTCAGAATCGTGCTGCTGAAATGGCATCCAACATGCACCGATGGAATTTTCTCTCCATTTCCACTCAGCCCTGGTCAGGGCCATAGGGGGACTGGGGCCCACAATTACTGCTAAATAACTGACATGTTAAAACCTGAGCAGGTCACTTAGAACATGTTTCACAAATATAAATGAACAAAAAAGATTATAATCAAATATGCAACATAACAGAGTTGGAAGGAATATGTTGAAAAATCTGCACACAAGAAACTAGGCCCTAACAATATCCATAGACCACTATAGACCACAATAGACCATAGGCCACGCTTAGATGATGTGGCTTGTAATTTCAAGGATAGCTGAAGAAAATCTCTGCAACACAATGTAGGGTATAAAAGTGAGTACAGACAAAAATATATTTGAATTGCATTTGACCACAGCTGCCCCTTTTTTTTTTTTTTTTTACAGATAATTACAGAAGAGGCCTGGATGAGAACCTGCTCCTCTTAGTCTGAAGCCATGGTTCTTACATAAAAAAGGTGGATTGCTTCCTGTGGATCATGGATTAGTCTCTACCTTAAGTAGAGGACATTGTTTGTCATTGGGTCTTTATTAGTAGTGACAGACCATCTGGCACCTACTACCTAGTAAACTGGAAAGTAGCTCTGGAAAAGTCAAAGATCATAGCTCTTAATTAACCAGTTTTTGGCAAAATTCAAACCATGGTCATGAGCTCTAGATCATGACCAAGATTACAATACCTTCTATACAGTCTCCTATTGGGTTGCTGCAGTCAGCCTTGGAGTTTAGGTGAGCAGCTCTGTTATCCGAGGGGAGCTCAGAGTCAAGTCACCATTCTTCCTCATCAAAAGAAGTCCTCTGAGGTTGTTCAGTCATAAGGATCCCTACTGTGGATTTAATGATTTTTCTCACTGCCTCACTGAGAGGAGGACTGGAACAAAACCAGTATACCTAAAGGGACCATAAGCTCCTTCTGAACCTCCATCCA